GCTGCTATGCCCTTAAAGAGAAAAAGCTTTGTTTTGAAAAGAAAAAAAAACCCTTGAGGCATGTTTGGCTATCATGACCTTGGACGAAATTAATGATACATAGATGCAGTAGGTCTTACATTGTTAGGCGACTAGTATGCAAAAATATGAAATCTTAAAGAACTAATATTCATTATTTGTTATGGAATACAAATTAAAAACACAAAAATACATGAATCTGCTGTGTAAAATTCAAACGTAAAAATAAATCATATAGCATGTACTAGAGTATAATTAGTTATAGAATGGCATGAAAGCCAGAAGCATGCAAACAAGATACGTGAAAATTTTTGCAAATTCTTACATAGAGCTATTCCTAAGCCTGATCAATTGGCAGTTGCTTTTGATACTGTGCACGTCAGCCACATTTCAATCTGCAACAAATCAATGGATGTTGGTAATGGCTCCTTATGGAGTGCAGTAGTAACATGCTCCCCATCAAAACAGCTATCACAGTGCTTCTTTCTCAAAATTGCTGAGATTCGTAGCTGCTAGAAGGAATTCCCTGTTTCATCAGCCATAGTTAAGTTGCACCGACGTCTTCCTTGAACACTCTCAGTCCTTGAAGAGAGTCTTTGTGGAACTGGGCTGGTGGAAGTAGCTATTTTTTCTGGCTCTTCTTGAACCAAGGAGAATAATTTTTCGTCACAGGTTTCCCTTACAAACTTCTAGCTTCTACTCAATGTCCAAGTTCGCGAGAGCTAGATAAAATCACAAATTGAAGCGCATGGAATTGCTCTCATTTGGAATGCTGATTTGAAAAATTTATTAAGTCTGTCCGCCTGCACGTTTTCTGAAAGGTGCTCCTCCCAAAGTGATATATGGCAGAAATTTAAATTGGGAAAGTATCGCTCTGTTTTGCTCACTAAGATTTCGTTCAAATTATCACGGCAGAATCTAAAATCATGGAGGCGAGCAGGTGTAAGCATTTTCTTCAGCAAATAAAGGATTCTGAATGCTCACATCTCCCTGGCCCACATGCTACTCAATACACCGAACCTTCGTTTGCAATACATCTCAGAGTCCTGCCAATTACTTTCTTGAGGGCAGTCTCATCTTCTGGCACAGATGTGGGATTGATTCAATAAGCATACGGCTGCTTAAATGAGTCGCGCGACAGTGAGCCATACGCAGTTCTTGTTTTGGTTTTGGATTTAGCATGTCCTTCCAATATGATGCAATGCTTGGATAAGGAATGGATGACCCAGGAAGTCGGATTTAGCACTTCAGACCGTTCATGAATAAGTCAGACGTTGAGAATTTGGCTGGATTTCCCTCCCTAAAATGCGAAGAAAAAATATTGAAAATGGCAGAAGGTCACTCAGCAGCATTAGAAAAAATGAGTTATTTAGACGATCATCTAAAAAAATGTCTAGAAAATGAATTCGATAATACGCTGCCTGAGTGAAGGGCGACGCACTCCCGCAACAACTCCGAAAAGTAAATCTCTACCGAGCCTTTCTGCTAAAATCGCTCCGTTGCTGCCTCAGCTCCTTTATCCTCCTTTTCGCATCTGCACGCACGCGCGAAACATCTTTGGGTCCCGGGTTAGCTGCTTCCTACTCATCTGTCCATCGCTGTAGTCAACGATGCGAGTGACTATTCATAGAATACAATAACGCGAGGGCTGAAGAGATAAATTTTACATTTATGGTGAAAAGGATTGGAAATACATATACGAACATGAAGCAATACTAATTTACATGCATATGTCAAACTGAAAGCAACGGTTTTTCCAATGATAGACATAACTGCCGCTGTGTGAGAAGGATTAACGGCTGTTAATCCGAGCGTCTTCTCCTAGAGCAATGCTTCCAACTGAGATTGGTAAGTAAGCTCGATCGAGGATAATTTCAGTTCACCCGCCCTCCAGTCTCCCCGAGGGCCGAGCCCCCCCGCTTCCGGGCGGAGTTCGCTGTCCTGCAATGCTTACCGCGCAGAGCCTTATCAGACATGACTACAAATTGACACGGGACACTGGTTTCCAC